AGTTATATATATATACATACATATATACCGTTTGTTTTAAATAATGATTATATACTATTTTGCAACTTCAAAGCACAAATTTTCTCTTTTTTAAAAATATTATAAAATATACAAAATTTAGTGAAATTATATTGAAAATACTTAACAATACAATAACCATCACCATATAAATATAAATTATAAATATCTTATATATTAATCATTAACAATATTTACACAATTTAATTAACAATTAAACACTAATTAAATAAATAAATTCATAAACAATATTTGCATACATTTTTTAGCTTTTTACATAATTTTATTATTTTGTTTTTGCTTTATTTTTAATAACAACAAAATATATTTTAAATAGTATTACAAATTTACCACATTTTATATTATTCACCACATTTATATTATTCATCACATTCAAGCAACAATTTTTAAAATACTGTATTGCAACTTTTCTTAAAACAAAATACAAATAACTAGCTAAATATTTTTTTTTGAAAAATATTTTATACATTTTTTTAAATTCGAGTAAATTTAATTCGTGTTTCTATAATTTATAACAATTATTTGCTTAAAAAATAAAATAAAATTTAAATATTTTTAATTATATTATTAAGAGATCTAAAATAATATTTTAATGCGATATTTCAAATATAAATTAAAATTTCAACACGAAGGAATAATAATTATTGTGTGTGACGAATGTATTTTCCAACACGGTCTGAAACCTATTTTTTTTCAAAATTTGAAAAAATGTCTTGAAAATTTAAAGAATGCGAAATAATACGAAATGGAAGATAACAATTAATTGATATTTCTCTTCTACTCAAATAATTACTCTTATCAAACTCTATGAGTATAGCGGTATGTACGAAAACAATTAAAAACTTTAATAATTGAAATCAAAATATTTTAATAATTAAAATGTAAAAATGGAATATTTAAATTTATAACTCATAATTCTTTCAAAGTAATCATTATTTAAATTTGAGACACAGACAAAAAACACTGTGAAGATACACTCATGGCACATAAAACGTTCTCTTTTAATTTTCTTCTACTCAAATTTATATAAAATAATTGAATATTATGTACACACACCTAAATTACAGGAAAGTCACTGCGTGAATTTCATTACCGTCATCTCGAATGCACAAGAAAAGAAAACTATGTCTTAAATATATGAAAATTAATGACAATAAATATTATGTGTGAAAAATATATTAATGTTCGCAACAAAATTTTTATAAAGCTAGAATATTAAAATCTCTTAATTAATTTTGAATTCGAAATGCAAAAACATTTTATTTCCGATGCATATGAATTGAGAAGGTTGAAGCCGGAAATAAATATAAACTGTTCCCAATTTCTGATTTTGCTCGTCTTAAAATTTTGTACATTTTCTATAATTTTTTCTTGCGTTTTTTTATTGTTAAAGCAGCTTAGCTAAATTTTACATTGCCGCTTCTTTTCATTGAAATGCTTTATTTATTTTTTAAAAGCTAACAAACTTCAATTAAGCTTTATAGCCTGATCGTCTATCTCACTTTTTTACTCACTATTTATACAAATCAGAATTCCAATAAGATTACTCATTTTTTTTATTGGATTTTTGCAAATTATCGACTGAACGTCTCACTTTCCAAAACAAAGTGGATACATTTTGTATGCATATTAAAAAAAAAATGAGATAAGCAATACCAAATAATTCTTCTCATAAAAAAATTGCATTATACAAGTATAAGATAGACGCTCACTTTCTTCTCACTTTCCGAGTAAAATAGCGAAATAGACGATCAGGCCCCTAATCTAATAACAACAAAACTATATTACGAGTATCAACGACATAAAGTTTGATGAAAAATCATATATACATATGTACGCATAATTATCTCTGTAAAATTCCGAAATACACCAAAAAAAAGCACGGAAAAATTATCTCTTGAGCATTTCGATTTTCTCAAATAATTTGAAACGAATTTTCATATTTCAAGATATTTAATTCAATACGAAACAATTTTAAACCCACTTTTAACAGCGAAAATCGAAACATAATTTAAAAGAATAAGTTAGTTTGTTGGCTAAATGAATACATTTTCCGTGTTTGATGTCAAGTTCATACAACTAGTATGCGTCATATATAGCGTGAATCGGACTCATAAATAAAATTAAATGATTGCTACACTACTATAGTGTATATACTATAGTAAGAAGCTAACACAAAGCTAATAAACTAGAAATTTCCAATCATGTATGACACTCAAATTTCGATACAATATGTAAAACTTAAATATGTATTTTACTTTTAATAACACAAAAATGAAAATGTCTTTTCAATTTTATTTAATGAAAACTTTAGTAACAGTTTTCATTTGTAAAAGGATGTTGTAAATCAGTTTATTTTTATTTGTATAACGAGTCAATACACAACACTAACACAACATTTTCATTAGCAATATTTTTATTAAACTGAAATTTCTACTACATTCTACACAAGATTTTCGAAACAATTGCAAAAACAATAAACTATAATAGATTGCAGTAGTGAAAAATTTATTAATCAAAATAAATCTTTTAAAAATCTATATTTCCAAATTTTTAATAATGAACAAATTTATTTTGAATTGCATTACATTTAATAGGCATTATTTAAAAAAATATGATATTTAAAAAAATATCTAGATTGCGGAAGATAGGTGTATTTAAAAAAATAATCACGCTAGATGGCAGAGAAAAACAAAATCAAATGCTTTCTGATTCACAACTACATATGAGAAAATATTACATTGAAATAAAAAAATTAAATGCAAAATACAAAAATATTTACAAAAATTTGCACACTACCACCACTCTTATAGCACACCACTCCATCTTTTGTATTCAAGCAATAATTACGCTATAACTCTAGCAAAAATTTACTACGTCAAATAACTTTTATTTACATGAATTCATTGTAAAATTCTTAATAAATATCAAATTCGAATAACATAAACAACAATTATAATATGAAACACGCACACAGTTAAAAACAAACAAAGTTTATGATATATTAAACACATTTTAAGTATTCAATCTATCTTGAAAACAAAGCCTTTAAAAAATTTCAAGCTCCAAACTTTAATCAACTTCTTCTGCTTGCAAAAAAATTTTTACCTAAAAAATATCTACCTAAAAAGTGCTACTAAATAAATATGGAATTCATAAAAGTGAAATGAAACAGGCAAAAAATTAAAAATAAAAAAAAATTATAATATTAAATATTTTATAAAATTAATAAATTAGGATTTTTGTTCTTTTTAATGTTTTTAGAATATTATTAAAATTTTCAAAACTATTTCTCTCTAGGCTTCTAATTAAATGATTTTATAAAGTAAAGTTTATTGGTTTCTTAACTAAACTTTGCAATTTTTTTTTAATATTTATTTTCTATTCTACAATAAATATTTGTTTTAATTTTAAAGTCGTACAATTAAGACTTCTTTGTTGAAACGAAAAAAATTGTGCTTTTTTTAATCAAATAAATTAAATCTTGATTTTTAAAATGCTATGAAACAACAATATTATCTTATAAATTATAATTATTATTTATAATAATTAATATTTAGCACAATATTATCGATTAATGTTTTGATTCAATCAATTTGATTCAATTTTGATTCTTTTTCTTCGATTATTTCTTCTACTCGTATTTCATTCTCTATATGTACATTTATATTATTTTGTCGTCGTAGAGTACAACCGATTGCAATTTATTTCTTAATATTTCTCTTATTACTCTCGTTTTTTTTTTTTGGTTTCTGTAATTTTTCTCTCTTTGCTCTCTGTTTTCCTGGTTCTCTTGGCAAATATGGATTTTCTCTCTGTAATATAACAATAAATTGTAAATTAATAATTATTTATTACTATATTCTTTTGGCTTCTTATAAATATTATTAGATATACTATAATTAATTATTAATAGAAATAAATAATATTTTATTATGATAATAAAAAGAAAATTTCTTGGTTTTTTTTTTTGTAATTTTTTTTCGATCTCTTTAAATGCACGCATATTTTCCGACTTTTCAATTTCAAAATCTTATATCTATGCATATATAATTATTGTGTCTGTCTTCTTGTAAAATAAAAGTCTTATAATATAATAACCTACTTGTATTTTAACTTTTAATAAATATTTTTTTTCTTAAATTTCTATAAAAATTTTCTATATTAATTATTATTCTATATTATTATTTTTTTTTTTTTTGTGATAAATTAATTAAAAAATAGCTAAATAAAAACTGGAAAAACTGAAAAAATTCTAAAATTATCGAAAAAAATAACATATATTTCTTTACGTTTCCTTGATTTAAAAACCAAGAATATACAATAACCACTATAAAATATAAAATAATATAATAAAATATTAATTAGAATGAAAAAAATAAATAAAACTTCGAATAATTGTAACTCTACTTTGTTTCCTTAATTTTATAATATTGTGCATTTAACAAATCTACTTATTCTATATAATATTTTCTTAATTCTTTTTATTATTAAACTTATTTATGACTATGTTTTCCTCTCTCTATATCGTCTTTTTATATATTAATTAAACTTATATTTTGTTTATATTTTGTTTTTTAATTTCAATACTTCAATATCTATATACTTCACATATTATAATACTCTTTTATTAAATCTATGTATAAATCTGATTTGTGTATATAAATACAATACAATAATTACAATACTGCCTTCTTTTCAATTCTTTTTTTTTTTAAATTTTAATTATCTCTTTTATATATATAAATTATACTGAATGTATAGTACTTAATTTTGAAAAATAATAATAAATTATATATTAACAAAATAATATATGATAATATAAAAACTAAAAACGAAAAAAAAAGGAAGGTTTTAAATCAAGAAACATAAATAAATACTGGGCAAAATATTTTTTTGCACCTTCCATAAATGTCCATATGTATTTAAATTGGTTTCCCTGTGTGTTTTATTGATTTCAGGAACCTATTTCAACTGCATAATGTTTATGGTAAGAACACCTTCTTCTTTATATATATTATTATAAAATATATATATAATAATTTTTTAAATAAAATGAAATATAAAAATTTCCTGAAATTTTAAAATAAAATAAAACTATAAATAAATTATGCTGAAAAATATCAATCTAATTTTTTTTCTTACCCCTTCTCTCTTTTTCTCTTTTCTCATATATACAATCTTTTTCTCTCGTTCTCTTCTCTTCTGTTGTTTGTTCACTTTTATCGATCTGACTGCAAAAACAAAATATATTCCTGATATCTACCTCAAAACAAAAAAAACTCAAACCAAAATAAACCGAAAATAAAAAAATCTGTTATATAAATCGTTGTTGTGTTGAATGAAGGTGGCATCCTCGGTAGTTTCAACTATTTTAATTCTGAATTACCATCACAGAAATCCAGACACTCATGAGATGTCTGAATGGGTAATAAAATAAAAATAAATAAAAAAAAAAATTTTTTTTTTATATTATACAAAACAATTAGAATACTTTTATTTAATTTATAATTTTATATTTATATTACAAAAAAAAAAAACAAATTTAAAACAAATAGAAAAACTTGTTAATAATAAATTCTAAATTTATTATATATATATTTAAATATTTAAATTTCAAATTACAAATTGATGAAAAAATTTTACCGAATGAATATTAATTATATAATTTGTATGAAAAATCATTATATTTTCTGTTGTAAAGAGAAAAGAATTGTTTTTGAATTTTCATTAATTTTTCTTTAAATTTTTTTTCTTTTATTATTTACGCATTTTATTTTAGTTATTTATAACAGATAGTTTTTTTTTCTATTTAATAACATGTAATTATTTTTATTATAATTACTTTTAATTAACATAATAATTATTAGTTGTGATATTTATACAATACAGACCATATATTTGCGCCCCTAAATACTGTACTAATTAAAATATTTATTATGGTACATTGACTTTAAAAAAAATACAATTCTATTGACTTATTAAGTAATACATATTTAATATAAAAAATAATGTTTAAGTTCTTCAATATTTTATAATTAAAAATTTTAAATTAAGATTTTGTCATTCATACTTGAATTCTTCGACATTTAAAGTGTTTGACATTTAACATTTTTCATATACATTCTATGCATACAAAATTCAATCTTTATATATTACTTAATTTTTTCATAAACAAATAAACAATTTTAGTCATAAAACTTACAAATTTAAAGCTTTAATTAAATTTAAAATAAACAGTTTTCTTCCTATCTCCAATTTACTACAGTTTACACGCTAGTCAAAATATGTGTCGGGTTGGCAAACTTCACATTCAATTCAAAATTTAAATAATAAGAAAATAAATTTGAAGTTAACAAATTTTTTGCACACTAGAGTGCAGCAGAATGAAATTTGAAGCTGATTTAATAATTATATCATAATAACTTTTCGAATCATAATAACTTTTTCTAGAATTTCCTATTTTTCATTCTCAATGTGTTAATATGAAGACAACTAAAAATTATTTCATTACCGGAAAATTCGACACCAAAGTACTCCATATCGATAATATTGAGAACAACTTGTATGCCGTTATATTTGATTTATTTTTAACATATTCCCGCTCAATAGCAAAATTAAAATTATTATAAAATTCAGGATCTTAAAATACAATATTAAATAAATTTTTTTTGGTCATAATTTCATTAAATGTCCAAATTTGATTAATTATCGCTAATTTGAAATTTTCTTTAGTTTTATGTAATAGGTATTCTAATAGGTCATAGACTGCCGGAAATAAATGTTCATTTAATTGTGATAAATTTCGAGGCAGAATGAAAAAAATATTATTGATTTTCGAGAGTTTCAAAATATTTTTAAGTTTTATATAAAAACATTCTAAACAAAATTATTCTGCAAGTATACGAAAATTACTTCTTGAAATATTCTTTAAATTTATAAAAAATTACTCCTCAATTATTTTTTTTCTACGAATTTGAATAATAAAATATGTTTATTTTTAAATTGAATTTGATATGGAGTTTTTGCAAAAAAAAAATTTTCAAAAAAACTTTTTTGGTAAATGAAATTCACCACTTTTCTTTTTTCCAAAAAAAAATTTTGTTTTTACATATTTTTATTTGGTTTCTCTTATTTTTTTCTTCACTCTCTCTCATTCTTTTTCTCTTTGTCTCATTCTCTCTGTGTTTTTTTAAATTTGAATTCAAAAACAAAATTCTTTCTCTTTTTTTCCTCATTAAAACAAAAATTTATAAAAAGTAATCAATTTTGTAATTGACGAAAATTTAAAACGTAAACAAAATATTGGAGTAAGAAAAAAAATTTTTGGCAAAAAAAAAATTAAATAAAGAAAAATTTAACAGACAAGAAAAGGAAAAAATATTAGAAGAGCCTTAGAAATATTTTTTTCGAGAAAATAAGAATTAAAAAAAAAACAAATAATTTAAATAAAAAAATAAAAATCAAATTTTCTTTATTTATTTTTTATTAAATAGATTTTTTTTTAATTATACATATTTAATATTTAATTTTATTTATATTACACAAAAAGAAAAATTTTAATATTAAAAAAACAAAAAAAAAAAAAACAAAAATTTTATCAATACAAAATTTATTAATATAGAATTTCTTTTTATTTATGTTCTTCTTCTCTTCTTCATCTTTAAAATATCACCGATAATAACATTCTATTTCACCGTTATTTCATTATTTACCACCCTTTATATATAAATATATAAATATGTATATTTTTCTCTTTCTATTTTTGTGTTTTAACTTTTTTTTTTCAATAACATTTTTCAATGTTTTCCTTTGTCTTTTGATTTTTAAATCAATTTTTAATAATAAAAAAAAAAAATAATTTTTATTTTTATATGCGCCTAATTATTGACAAAATTTTTGAATTGCATCGTCCTTTAAAAACCTTCATTTTTTATATTTTTTCTATGTATATATATAATTTTTAAAAAATATATATATATATATATTTTTTTATTTTTTTTTTCGTGTAACAATTTTCAATTTATTTTCCCAATAAATTTTTTTTTTTACTTAAAAATTTCCTCCCAAAAAATATTCCACTTTTGTTTTGTTATTATTCAAAAATAAAAAATTAAATTTTTTTTTTTGTTGAAAACAATATCACCCTATAAACCTTAAAATCATTAAAAAAATCAAAATTAAAAAAAAAAACAAAACGTAAATAAAAAAAAAAATAAAAACTGCAAAAAAAAAACAAACAAACAAAATCACAGATACGGGTAGTTTTCTTATACTGGCTTCCATGTATATTACGCATGTCAAGGCCAGGACAAGAAACTTATGATTGTCCGCCACCACCTTTAGGATCATCAGCTGAAAAAAAGCAACAAATTCAAACAGTTGAATTAAAAGAAAGGTATTGTAGCAGAGTATTGTGTGAACACTTGAACACATTTTTAGTTTACATTTACTTTGTTTTTTTTTTTCTTATTTTTTTTTAAATTTTATAAATGAATTAAAATTACAAATTTTTTTTTTAGTTTTGTTTAAAATGTATAAAATTTTTTTTTAAGTATTACAACAATATAACAGTAAAAGAAAATAATAAAATATATCCAAAATTATATTTTAATATTCTTGCTTAAAAATTTTTATATATTATATATATGTACATTATACTGTAATACAAGAAACATTATACATACAGTACAAAAATAATAACGATAATTATAATAGCCTTATGTATATAAATTATTAAATATAAATTTTAAATTAAGAAAAAATAACATGTTAAAGTTTTATTAAAAATTTTTATTTTTATTCTCATATTAAAACTCTTTTATTAAATAAATATTTTAAAATATCTTATGATAATCGATTATTTTTTTGTATATAGAATAAAATTACAATTATATATGTAAGGTGTTTCTTATATAATAGTTATGAAAATGCAATTTAATCAGAAAATTTCAATTTAATTTCGTTATTAATTGACAAAAATTTATAATAATTTTGAAATTATTTTGAAATTATTTTTTTCGAAAAAATTTTAGTAAGAAGAGCTTTTTCTAGATTTAAAAGCTTCTGCTAGAGGAGTCCAAAAACTAAAACCCTCCTTAATTCCAATAATTATGTATGACGTACATATTTTCTTAGTTGACATTTAGTTGTTTATATATTATATTATATCTGATATAAGCAAAAACTTAGCAACTCTTAGATAATTTATATTCTTGACAACAATTGGTTATACATTAATATTAAAAATATAATTAAATAATTCAATTGCATTTTCAAAAACACCTTCACTTAATATCCCGCCCAGATTTTCTATATACTTTCTACATTTTTTTTATTCTTTAATTTTTTTTTTTAATTTTCACAAAATATTTAATTTATTATGTACATACGTATATATATATAGCACAATTTAAGATTTTTGACATACGTATATATTATGAAATTTTGTAAGTATAAAATGTTATTTTAATATTTCTTTTATTACAAATTAAGAATTTTCTGTATAGTTAAACGTAAACGATCAGAAATAGATGAACAATAACGTAAATATACAAAATATATGTACTCAAATTTTGTACATTTAATATTTTTAATAGTTTAGGTAACTATTATACATTTTGTACTTATTCAATGATGCTATTCATTCAGAATGATGCTATGAATTCAAATTCATCATTATCCGTATACCATTTCGAACACAACACTTAGCATTCTGTACATTTTAGAGTTTGAAATCATTATTAATACTCTGTGTACACTTTTTTTAATTACAAAATGTAATCGAACTCATACATTCTCATAATTTACCATGATCAAATTGTAAAATAAATGAAATTTCTTTTATTTTACAGTACTAAATTTACATTCTTTGCTCAAAAAGGAAAATGTTGTACAATGAATGCGGTTTTGAAATGTATGAAAAAATAACATTGGACCCTTATGTTTAAAACAATATTATTGGTCTACTAAGTAATATTGATAAAATAAATTATTCTCTATTGGTTTTATTAACTACTATAATTGAGTAGTTTTACTTTCATTTTAAGCAAATTAACCCCAAGTGTAGTAAATCCCAATGCAACAATACATTTCACATGCCTATAATTACTTATTTAACATAGTATATTATTACTTATCAAAAATTTTTAACAAATATCACGACACTTTTAAGGGGTCAATCTTAAACATCATTTAAGAAACATGCATGATACATGTATCTAATTGAAATTAAGAATTTGGTTCCATAATATTCCATAAACATTCGAAATGAGATATAAAATAATATTTTTAATAACAAAGAAATTATCTGATTAACCATTCTTTTTAATCTTGTTCTCTACATAAAATTAAAGAAATTAAACAGAAAATGTAGATAAGTAATCGTTTCAAAATTTTAAATTCAAATTGGAAATTTAAATAATATATCCAAAAGAAAATAAGAAAATAATCGAATATCATATTATCATAATTGATTCACATAAAACAAATTGAAAGCAAATAAGACTTGCCGTTGTTGTTATGAATAATAAATTTTCCTGTGTCACTTATACCATGGCATAAATTAATTATATTTCAATCGCACGCTTGCAGATCATCAAAATCACTTTTAGCTAACGTTTTAGACATTGATGATGACTACCGATGTAATCATAGATGTGCAAGTGCAACGTTACCACATCAGCCAACTTATTATCGTACAGTTTACAGGTACAAATAATATTTCAGATACGAAAATAACTATAAGAGGAGCTTATTTAAATAACAATTAAAAAAATTAATAAGAATATAAATTTTTTTTAAATAAATTTTATTTTAATTTCCTTTTATAATTCATAAACATTAAAATTATATATATTTTTTTTTCTATGTAGACAAGGAGACGAAGGAAGTGTTGGCCCTATAAATGTTGATCCAAGAATGCATGAAGCGATTTCACACACTTGCCTAAGTTCATCAGCTGAATACGAATTAGCTCTTATATTAAAAGAATTAAGGTGGATAACCGATCAGGTATTGTGATCAAAAATTCAAAATTTAAAAAGAAAAATCATTATTTTCACTTAATATGTGTTTAAAGTACATAAGTATATTTATTTAATCTAATAACAAACACCTAAGAATAATATATAGGAGTATATACATGAATTGGAGTATTTTTATATCAAATTTTATCTTCATTTTAAAAATATTGAATCGAATAAATAGTTTGATATTAACCAATCTGAATTTCCAGAATTTGAAATTAAATTATTTATCAACTCAAATTGCTGGTACAGTTTTTTTTTTGAATTAATATTTAATTTCTAAATAATAATAATTAAATATATGCACTGTAAAAAATTGTCTGAAAATTACTACAATAAGTAAAGTAATGTTCAGTCGAATTTTCCAAATATAGTAAAGTAAATATTACGGGATTGTTTAGAAATTTTACTCGACCAGAATGGAAATTTTTGGAAAAATGGAGAATATGAAATTTTGCTAATTACTACTAATTTTACAGTAAAATTTACGATATTTACATATGGAATGATAAATTCACTCAACATGAGATCAATTAGCAAATTTATTTATACAAGTTATTAATTTAATTATACAAGTTAAATTTTTGTTAGAATTTTTTAATTACTTGATTGCATAATTATTTGCACTAATGGAGTTTTTTTAAATCTTAAATTAAAAATTATTGTAGTAATTTTAAATAAAAATTTTTTATAGTGCCGAGAATATTTTATTCCCAAAATCATTGCTCTAAAAGAATGCTTGAAGAAAACTTACTATCGAACTAGAACTGTGATAAAATCAAATGTGATAATTATGTTGTATATGGTCAATTTTAATTTAAAATATGTTTGTTGCAGATTATAATTTAATTTTTTTACATACAGCCTTTTATATATAAATACTAAAACTTTGGATGGCATAATATAAAACAAAAATATTTTAAATGGTTACAAATTGTAAAAAAAAAAAAAAAATTACATTTGTTTCAATTTGAATATTTTCGAAATTACACACAAATATTTTACGATCACAAGCAACCACATTACTTATTAATTTCGAATTTCTTCTTTGAAGCTTAAAAAAGAAGACGAAAGTAATGACGTTACACGTGATTGGAAATTTGCTGCAATGGTAGTGGACCGATTGTGCCTTATAATATTTACGTTGTTCACAATAATTGCAACACTTGCTGTATTAATTTCAGCTCCACATTTTTTGGTAAGCACAAAAAATTAGAAAATAATACAAAAAATATTGTTTTACTAGAAAACAATATAAAATAAGTATATAGTAATTTCAAAATATTCATACAACAATTATTTAATTTATTTAATTTCAGTTCGATTAAACATAAAAACAGTAAAGAAAAATAAACATAAAGAAACAATAATAATAAAATTTATCAAAAAAATAATTTATAGAAAATATTTCAATAACAAAAAAATATTCTAGTTCGATTTTTCAAATTATATAATAATAATAAATATTTCTAAAATGTGGAGAGTAAAAAAAAATTAGTTATCAAATTAAATATTTTAATTTTATAAACGAATTGACATTTTGCGCGCTTATTATTATATGATTACCATACACACTTACATACAATGTTAAAATGTATACCACGATATCGTTATTAACCTTAAAAAAAAACCAAACACATGACATCTGGCGGGAAAATTTTGCAACATTTAGTAAATGGAGAAATTATTTAATAACAAAATAATTTTAATACAACGATGAACAGAATATTACCGATAATAATAAAAAAATTAAAAAAAAAATACTGTAAAAATTTGAAAAAAAAAAAAATTAAATTGTTTTAAAAATGTGGAATACATTTTTATATGTATAAATTAACGTATATGTATATAAAAAATATATGTAAGAAATTTTCACCTATTATTTGCAGAAAAATGACAAGACTGAATTGAACTTATAAGTATTTTTCATATTTTTTTTTTTGATTTAATATAATTTTTAAAATATTCTTAAAGCTATTGAATTCAGCCCTAATTTTGTTTTTCATTTTGAAAAAAAAAAATATTTAAAATAGCGTATGTTTTCAAAAAAAAAACTATGTAAAAATGTATTAACAAAACAGGTAAAAGATAACCTTAAAAATATTTTATGTAATTAAAATGCAGTTACTATTAAATTTGATGCCCAAAAATAAATATTCAAATACTTTCAAAAAATTATAACATGTCTAATTCTCAAAATAAAAAACCACATAAGTGACACGATTATCTTCAAATTAGTTTAAAATACCGAAATTCTATTTATCCCAATCCCAAAATGCAGGTCATTCATATTGTTTTGTTCAGGGTTCGGGAACTTTTTTCCAATTCCTTTGGGGATATTTCAAGCTTTATGCTTGGGATAGAGATATTATAGTCAGAAGAGTAGTGAGGCTTGAATAACTCGCAAATGACTGCGATGGTAACGGTAGTAATATTATTTAAATGATTCATTCGCAAATACAAAATTTGTATACATTTTATGATGAACAACAACATTTTACACTCTCTATTTCTTAATATTGTATTCAAAAATATTAGTTGTAACATTAACTTGCATATAATTTTAATAATTAAGATATTATGTATAGAATACAATTCTAAATGTAATTACAAAATATTACTGAATCTCTTAAAATATTTCCAAGATTTTGAATATTTCAACTAAAGAAATCTTAAATTCCTTGATTAAAGATATACAATGTAAAATTGTCAATTAAATTTAAAATAAAAATGATATAAATATTCAACTTTATAAATCTAATAATATGCAAAAATTCAATTTCTATGTTGCTCATTTGAAAAATATTTAATGAATTAATTAAATAAATGGCACACTTATTTATTAAATTCAACAAATCTAAACTGTTATACTAACATGAAATGTAAAATCTTTTCAAAATTCAATATTATACTACAATGTTGTACACTGCAGTATAATATTTAGATCTTAATTTCTAGTATTGTTTACCCTATGATTTATTTAGATCAATATATTATTTTGCGTGAAGCGATACTCTGACAAAAATTTAACATTTCATTGAACAGAATTTAAGTGATAAGTATTATTTGTGATCATTTCTAAAACATTGTTTACTAAAATTTGTCATATCAGACAAAAAAACAAAACTTTAAAATTTTTAACTTTACTAGTTGATTTGGAAATGTTTTACTTAAATTTTACAATATTTTAAATTAAATTAGTATAGATATGCCACAATCTCTGTGAGAGATTAAAAATCATTCACTTATAACATACAGCAAATCTGTAGACCTTCTAAAATATTATATGAATTTTTGGAACAAATTAAGTTGCATGAAAGAATATTTTCAAGCTTAAGTTTTATTATTAATTAAATAGAAATAAATCCAAAAATAAAATTATATTAAAAATAATTAATTCTCGGAACAAAAATAAAAATATTAATAAATTCAAATACGTCCAGTAAAATACATTTTTACACTATTCGTTCAGTGTATTCTTTTTAATTAATTCTGTATCTAATATCTTTTATCTGTTTTCTAATTAATTTAGTAGAAAAATTAAAATATTAAAAGCAATTACTTTATTATTTTATTAATAAAAAAAAAAACTTGTAAACATAAAATATCAAATAAAATTCAAACACTTGAAAACAATAATAGAAATGAAACTAAAATAAATAATTATAAAGAAATTTTTTTAGGAGAATATTTAAAAGAAAATGAAAATTCTATATGAAAATACCAGAACAAAAGCAATCAAATATGTCAGATAAATTAAAGAGAAAAAAGAATTAAAATTAATTTATAAAAACAAAAACCTTTAAATGAAAAATACATATTTAAAATAAGTAAAATAATAATAATTAAATTTAAAACAAAATCCATAATAATAATCTAGAAATAAAAAATAATTTAAATAAAATATATATATATATATATATATATATATATATATATATATATACTAATGATAAAGAAACATTTCAACCTAACAATCAACTATAATAAAACACAAAAAAAAAACTAAAAAAAAAACAAACCATAAAACTAATAAGTAAATTAAAAAAAATTAATAATTATAATTAATAAATAAAATAAATAAATAAGTAAAAGAAAACCAGAATGTGATTTCAAAATAAAAAGTATCAGAAAATGTGAATATGCATTTTATGAAGATTTAATTATATAAATTAAAATATTATATAGAACAAAACAAGAAAAATATAAAACAAAACATAAAGTGAATTCATAATATTAAAATTAAAACTAAGTTTAGAAATACAAGTATATATATATATATATATATATACAATACATTTAGGTACATTATTTATAACAAATGTAGGGGCAATAATTATAAAAAAATGTATAAAAATAAATTTAAACAAAAAGAAAAAAAAAAACAGAAACCAAAAGAAAAACACAAAAGCGCAAAAATTTCAATTAAGATCTAAAATAAAACAAAACTGCTATAAAAATAATTAACGGTAACTATAAATCTGTTAATATAGTTTTTAAAATTAAAACAAAAAAAATATTAAAATTTTATTATTATTATTATTATTATTATTATTATTATTGTTATCATTATTATTATCATTGCTGCTATTATTATTATTATAATTGTTATAAATTACTATTTTCATTATTATTCTTAGGTATTATTTATTATATAATTATTAGCAAGTAGAAAAATCATTAAAAAAATTCAATAATATTAAAAAATATATTTATATATGCAAAGATGTTATAATACAACAATACTGTGGCAATTAAAGTTATGACCCAGGCGAGAGTAATATTATATTTATTGAAATTATAGGTAAACTAACTATTAAAACTTTGACTCTTTAAACGTTTCCTAATAACTCAATTGAAATTGATTGTCAATATTCATATACTTATATTATATTTCATTCATTTTACACAATGACGGATACAAACACGCAGTCACTTGCAAGACTTTTATGAGATCAAATATTTGTATACAATAGTCAACCAATGATATTATGTGACATAATTTTATGGAAATAAAATTTCATGCTTGAAAAAGTAAACAAAAGTTAACACAGTTTCAAAATATTTACAATTTTCTTTAATATTAAAAATCTCATCTACTGTTAACTTTCTATATAAAAATCTATTTAAAAAATTTTACAACAGTTATAGAATATATTTGTCAAATTCAAATTAAATATCTACTTTCTGAAGTTTTGTGTCACTTACATTGTTCATTAGACTCAAGGACATAAAGGTGAAATAGACAAAATATTAATATATATACACAACATAATATTATAATTGGGCAACTACTACACAATAGAAGTAAAAATAAAATTTGAGGAGTGCTTATAAATGTTTACTATTTCACATTTACTAAAATTATGCATGTCGTAAAATTCCTATAACAAAATAAATTTTAATAAAATTTTTTTGAAAGTGTTCTTTAAAGTTGAAACTTCAAAATTACTATATATTCATAATTTCAATAGGTATAATCTTTTGAATGCTGTAGCATTACTACAATCCTGGAATTTAATTACCGCACTTCTTGCATGTATACTTATATGTTTTATACTTCCAATTGCAGATACAATAATGCAAAAAAAAATCACACACACACAAAATTGTTCAGCTTTTTAAGTAAGCTATAATAGCTGCCAAAATAATTTTCAAAAAAACGAAAAGATTAATACGCGAAATTAAAAAATTCTTAAATAAAAATTAATTAAAAAAAATTTATTATATGGAATAAAATGTACAAATTTTTAATTGAAAATTATTTTTCTTTAACAATATTTTCACAAAACAAATTTATAATTAATTTGCTTTAAAAATTTTTCATTCAAAATTTTAAAAAATAAATTAAAACACTAAAATAACCAAACTATTTTACATACACATATTATAATGTAAACAATAGATATTGTAATGCAAAAATTTTTAAAATTAACTTATAATTTTAGTCGCCCAATAAACTACAACTTTTCAGTATTTATTTGTATTTCATATAACACATTCCATCCAATATTATTGTTTCTGAGTTAGTGATAAATATATTATTAAATGCTAAAAACAAAGCCATTCTTATGGTGAAATGCCTATAATAATAAAAGAAATTTCCTATAATTTACTTTACAAAAGAATTGAACCCTTTTAAAGAATTAATCTTAAACTGCTACTCAAAAACAAAACTATTTAATTTCGCATAGTAAACTCAAATTTTTTTATATATAATTGCCAATTTTTGTTTGGACTTCAAATTTGATAAAGCATATAAAACTTGGTTGTTTTAGAATTCAATAATGATATTTAATTATTTCTAGGTTCTTCACTTATTGTAAGTGAAAATATCTAAAAAACAAAAAACGTTTTAATTAATTGCTCCAATTAAACTAACAGAAAATTTGAAAAATAATCCAATATTTTATAAAATAAACAAAAATTTTCTTCCAAACTCGTCAATGTTTTTCGAAAAGAAATAAAATTAATGAAGTTATTACTTACCTATGTCAAGTGAATATAAAACTATTTATTAGAACCCTATATACCTTGATAAATTTTATTTATAGAGATATATTCGTAAAATATTTACCATTTTTTATTTATTAAAGAATTGTTAAAATTTATTACATCATTATGTAAATTGTTATTTGTATAAAATTAATATTTTCCTTTTCTAAACGAAATAAAGAATCGATTGATAATATCGATAAAAAAACTTGATAATATCGATCAAATTGCAATTAAAAATATTGATTTTTGAGCAAATTTTATTTTAAATTTAAACCTTTGTCATTTTTTTTATAAAATTACTTAATTTATTTGAATATTTCAATTAATGAATCGAAAAATGAAAAATAAGTAATAAAAATATTTAAATATAGTTAAAAATAAATCACGTAAAATGCTGTGATAAATCAAGACAAAAAAGCCAACAAAACTTAATTCAAAATGAATAAATACGAACTTCTTAAAAGAAAAATACTAAATATACTAAAAACTTATTAAGTATTCTAATTAAATTATAATATTAAGTTTGCGCAAAAATGATTTTAATACAATCAGATCATAAAATTTTCTTTGATTTTTTACAATTTTGTAAAAAAATACGTACATTTTAATTAAAGTCATGCAAAAAATATTCAAGAAGATAATTCAGTATTCAATAATTCATTCATTATTGAAAATTCAATTCAAAACACAACTTCTTTAAAATTGTATGTATCTAAGGTAAATGATCCAACAAATGAAAATGCTACTTTTAGAAATCATTTATATCATATGCCAAAATATATTGATATATTGCATACATTTAGGATGAGCGAAACTTTGACAAAAGCATAATAGTTAAATTGGGTGGTTAAGTAAGTGAGTTAGAAAAAATAATAATACTTTATGATGTCATAGCATTTACCGTTAAATTTTCGGTTTTCTAGAAAATTTAAATAATTTTCAAGGGAGTTGGGTTTGAATAAAATGTTCCGCTAACGAAATAAATAATTTAATAGTATCTAAAAGTTATTAAAATTTTATACTTGTGTAGCTGCTTCTGACTAGGAGAAAGACGGTATCAAAAATTTGAGAAAAAAACGGATCAGGATAGCGGTTAATTTTTACAGGCTTATTAAAGTCTCTGTTTCAAATCCTGATAATATTTTATACAAAAATATACGATATTTATTCGATCATAAA